TTATTACAAAGATTATGGCTGAGAGACTGGCTGCCTTCCTCCCAGAGCTAATCACTGAAGGGCAGAATGCCTTTATTCGAGAGCGCCAAATTGTGGATAACGTCCTGCTAGGTCATGAGCTAATGCATTATCTGAAGATCAAGTCGCGAGGAAAGAAAGGGTACATGGCTCTGAAGGTTGACATGGAAAAGGCCTATGATAGAGTTGAATGGCCCTTTTTACTTGCGGTGATGGCTAAGATGGGCTTTAGCTCAGTGTGGTGCGACTGGGTTCATGAGTGTTTAAAATCGACTTCATTCTCCGTTATGATGAATGGGACCCCGAAGGGATACTTCTCGCCTTCCCGCGGCCTTCGGCAGGGTGACCCCCTGTCTCCCCTGTTGTTCGTACTCTGTACGGAGGGGTTTGCTGCCCTCTTGAGGAAGGCGGTAGCTGAAAAGAAATTGCAAGGAGTTAAAGTGGCGCCTAGGGCACCACGCATTTCCCATCTTTTCTTTGCTGATGACTCCTATCTGTTTCTCCGCGGGTCACTACAGGAATGCGAGAATCTGATCACAGTCTTGAATGAATATGAGGAATTGAGTGGTCAGCGGGTTAACCTGGCCAAGTCAGCAGTCTGTTTTAGTAAGAACGTTACGGTTCCAGACCAGGAGTTTCTGGGACAGGTGCTGGGGGTGGGGGCTATTGGTGTCCACGATAAATACTTGGGATTACCTACTCTTATAGCCCGGTCAAAAATGGACACGTTTCGTTATCTAGAGGAAAAGCTGCTTGCTCGGTTGCAGGGTTGGAAGCAACGGACCTTGTCATGGGCGGCGAAGGAAACTTTGATTAAGTCAGTGGCCTTAGCACTTCCCCTGCATGTCATGTCCTGTTTCAAACTCCCGCTCTCGCTTTGCCGCCTCTTGGATAGGCATGTTGCTCGTTTTTGGTGGGGGGTTGAGAATGGGCATGATAAGGTGCGATGGATGTCTTGGCGTGATATGTGCCGCAGCAAACATGAAGGCGGGATGGGATTTAGGCGGTTTGAGAACTTCAATCAGGCGCTGTTGGCAAAAATTTGTTGGCGTATCTTGAATGAGCCTGAATCGCTCATTGCTCAGGTTTATAAAGGGAAATATTTTCCGAGGAACGATTTTCTTGACGCTCAAGCGCGGTCCCGCCCTTCCTGGGGTTGGCAGAGTATTCTGTTCGGGCGCCAACTATTGAGCAAAGGCCTTCGCTGGCAAATTGGTAATGGCCAATCTGCCCCGCTTCTTCGGGATAGTTGGATCCCCAGCCTGCACCCCATGATACCTGTTTCCAATCCCTGTGTTTTGCCAGCCAATGAGGAATTACGGGTGGCCTCTCTCATCAATGGGGATGATGGGTCCTGGTGCGACGAACACTTGGCTAGGTGGTTTGATCCGCGTACTTGTCGGCTCATCAAGGAGATCCCTCTCCCTCGGGCCAATGTGGAGGATCGGCTCATTTGGCATGGCACGCAGGATGGAGTTTTTACGGTGAAGTCGGCCTACCATTTGGCGGGACAGTTGGACAGGATGGAGGACAGATGCCGTTCTTCGGTCAGTTGGATGGATAGATGTAGTTGGATTCGCGTCTGGGAGGCCCCTGTTCCCCCGAAGCTCCGGGTCTTTCTTTGGCAAATCCTCAATCGCCTCCTTCCAACCACGGAAGCTCTGATTGAGAGAAAGATCCCAGTGCACCCTCGGTGCCCGGTTTGCTGGGCGGAATCTGAAACCTTGGAGCATCTGTTCCTGGATTGTCCAGTGGCTCGTGCCCTCTGGGACTATGCTGGTTTGGAATATCTCGGGCAGGGGCTGCCTCGTCACACTTTTCCCTTGTTCCTGAAACGATTGTTGAATCTCCTTCATCAGGATCATTTGGTTATGGCGGTTACGGCTGTCCTCTGGCGAATTTGGAGATCCCGGAATTGGGTGGTGTTTGAAGGTAAGCAGTTTAGCCTTCCAGCGTTGATGAGACAGTATCACCAGCAATACCAGGAATGGATCAATCTTCCGAAGGATAAAGGTCAGGGTGGTCCTGTTACTCCGGTGTGTGAGGCTCCGCATTGCCCTATAATCTGCTTATGGGATGGGGCTACTAAGGTAGATTCTCACTCGGCAGGGGGGATGGTGGTCAGGGATCACCTGGGAAACAATCTAATAGCCAGAGGCTTTCAGTTCGCAGGCATTGATGATCCCCTGGTAGCTGAAGCTCTTGCTCTTCGTGAAGCTGTTCTCTGGTGCCGTGACTCGGGGTTTGTGGAGGTGCGTTTTGAGGGGGATGCCAAGGTGCTTATTGAAAAGATTGCTCGGGTTAATACGAGGGATAGTAGCGTGGGGGCACTTCTGGAGGAAATTGTTGGGGTACTTGGTTCGATGGGAGGGTTCTCTGTTCGGTTTGTAGGTCGGCGTAGTAATAGGGCAGCCCACTTGGTGGCTAGAAAGGCTCTTTCTTTGTACCCGACTACGAGTCGTTACTTTAATTTTCTGGCCTGGCTCAGCTCCAGGGTGTAGTTACCTATTTTTCTGATCAATATATCGATTATCTTTTGGCAAAAAAAAAAAAAAACCATAACTCTCTGCTTTACCGATAACTTCCAAGTCCAACACGAGTCCTTGAGCTCCTCTGTTTTCTTGCGTAGATTTGTATATTGCTCCCTCCCACCAGTGGTCGGACCGGTCGATTCAGCACCACGTCATCTTTTCTTCCCACAGCAAAAATTGACTCTTCCCCCTATCGTTTCTTCTCCCGAGCTACCTAACATCAGAAAAAGGATGTCCACTTCATCGTCACTTTCTCATTACTCTACCACAAGATTGTCAACCCGCGGGTCGACCCAATTTGATCCTGACTCGGTGAGAAAAACGGGCCGCACACACCTGCCGGGTCGGCCACTGCAACGTACCGGGTTAGAGGTCAAATTGTGTTATTTTTTTCTTTGATTTGCGAAATGCGCCTTTTTCCGATTTTTTTCCCGCCTAACTCAATTTTTGAAATCCTAAGTTGAACATTTGAATATTTATGTTATATAAGTGTGTGTGAATTTTCACAATCTGTTGGATCTAAGTACGATATGTTATTTTGGTGTAATATTATATGTTATAACTCATATGTTAGATAAAATTTGATTTCATTTATGAGGATAAATACAATATAATGACTCTTTCCATATTTCCGGGCCAAACAGGGCTAAAACGGTCGACTCATTAACCCTTGACCCACTAGCTCGACCGGGTCCGGGTCAACCCGCGGGTTGACAACCTTGCTCTACCACCTTCAATAAAAGCCCTCGTCCCTGCCTTTGCACATAAATACATGTGAAGCTCGGCAGATCCAAAACAGGTTAAAGTAGTGGACCGCATTTAAAAAGCGGTGGAGAGGGCTGGACCGTAACCCTATAAATATTGAAATATATACCCAAAATCGAATATTTACAAGTACTATACGCGACCCCCTAGATCCGCCGCTGCATGTGAATAAATTAGACCAACTTGTTCAATCGCTAATACCATAATTTGAGTCGTTGAGTTAATAGAAAAAAATATGATTTACATTGTCAGGAAATTACCTAATAATCAAAATTACAGAATTCATAAACATGAATCTCGCATGATATTTGTTCCCAATAACATGCCAATTGGACCAACGACGATCTTCTGGTCTCACCGAGTACACCACAATACTCCCATGATACTTTCCCTTTGTCATTTTCGTATCCTTCAGCCGGGAGTGGTTTGTGGTACTGTACTGTAGCAGACCCGACCCACGCCTTTCCCATTTTCTTTCTTTCATCTCTTTCTGGCTTCTTCGAGAGGCTTTCCTACTTCCAGCAAACTGAACTTTCATAGAAAATGCATTTCTGCTCGGCCTCGATCGGCTGAACCCCTTTTCCTTTCGTCATACCAATGATGTCATCTCCACCCCCAGGCCTAGCCTAGCCTAGTCTAGGGGTCGCTACTTCGTGATGTCGGTGGCATATTGGTTGATAATAGGGGAGTACATGAGTCGGGTGGTTCGAGTTTAAACATTTTAATCACCCGATTCAAGCATTATGGTTTGGAAAATATTAAATCCAAACCCATACAAAAAAATTCAAACCTACGGTTTATTTTTAATTGGGTTGGATCGGGTTAGCGATATTCTTAAGTAAAAACCCAACCCAATCCAACACAAAATATGTAATTATTCTACACCATAAAAATATTTTATAACTAATTAAAAAATTCAAACGAATAAACCGAGGTGAACGGTATCAAAATTCACAAATGTTGTTTGAATTTGAATAACATTTTATTTACTTTAACTTATGTCTAGTTTTTTTCACGACATTTGTTGAAATAGGCTAAAAAGGTTATAAATGAACGCATCCGTAATATGTTATTCTATTAAAATTGTACACAAGAAAAAAGATTACGTGAATCATAGTTATATTAAATTTATGTCTAAATTTTAAACCGAAGAATGCATTAGATTAGGGAGACAATGAGAGAAAAACATGGCGAAATATCTTAATTTTCTCATAAATATGGCTATATACGACATAAATATTTTTTTGATACAAATTCATACCAATAATTGGAACACGGGTTGAGTCGAATTCTACGGGTTGTGTAATCCAAAATCCAAACCCAACCGAAAAAGGCGGGTTGTACAAAAGAAAATCCTCACCCAACCCAAAACCTTCATTTTAGTGATAAATAAGGGTGGGTTGGATCGGGTTGGACGAGTGGGTCGGTTTGCTGGTGTGTTTGTTCACCCCTAGTTGATAGACAAACTTCAATCGAGATCGGCTACAAAACTTGATAGAATGCTTCTATGATCGACATGATCCATTTTCGCATTTTAAAAACTATTATGCTATATTTTTATCTGTCTATTATGCTATTTTAGTGAATGTAAGTTTTCAAAAAATTATTTTTTAAAAAAAATTGTTTCTTGAATTTCAAAATTTTAAATATTAATGTTATTTGTTGGTTTCATTAATATTTGTATTAAACGATGTATTTACCATCTTTCTTTTCATTTTTGATTTTCCCCATTTGGTTTAGTCAAACTTCTTGACGGCCAAGCAACACACCATTTTCTCTATCACCCCTACGGCCCTACCCCAAGTCCCCAACCATGGTGCTTTCTTTATATATGTGAGTGTGACCTTCATCCACCTCTAAATCAAAGCAAGCCCCCAAAACCCACCGTCCACCGAGCTTTCCAAAATGGCGTCTATGTTCGCCGGAGACCTCAAGCTCCCCTCAATTTCCTCCCTCCTCTCCTTCTACGCCTCCTTCTCCGCCCTCGCCATGATCATCCGCACCATCCTCAACGAAGCCCTCCCCCGCCCCGTCCGCCACTTCATCGCCGCCAAATTCTCCGACCTCGTCTCCACCCATTTCTCCACCAGCTTCACCTTCGTCATAGAGGACCGGTGGCACGCCGTCACCAACGAGACCTTCCGCGCCGTCCAAGCCTACCTCCCCACCAGAGCCGGCCCGGCCACCAACCGCCTCCTTCTCGGCCACAACGACACCAACAACACCGCCGCGCCGCCGCAGTCCGGGATCCCCGTCGAGGCCAAAGTCTTCGACCACTTCCAGGGCATGAAGCTCGAGTGGACCCTCCACGAGAAAGAGACCAAGAAGTTCTACCCACGCCACAGCCACTGGTACGAGCTGAGATGCAGCAAAAAGGACAAAGACAGGGTCATGGAGACTTACCTCCCTCACATTTGCAGAGAAGCTCAGAAGATCTTCAACCACAGGGAGGTTCTCAACATCCACACCTACGACAACGACGGCTCCAGCTGGGAATCCACCGTTTTCAAGCACCCTGCAACCTTCGACACTCTGGCTATGGAGCCTGAAGCCAAGCGGCGGATCATCGACGACCTGGATACGTTCATCCAGAGGAAAGAGTATTTCCAGAGCGTCGGCAGAGCTTGGAAGAGAGGGTACCTGTTGTACGGGCCTCCGGGGACCGGGAAATCGACCCTGGTTGCCGCCATTGCTAACTATCTCAGGTTCCACATCTATGATCTTCAGCTCCAGAGCGTTAAAAATGACTCGGAGCTGCGGCGGGTGCTTACTGCCACCACCAACCGCTCCATTCTTCTGATCGAGGACGTTGACTGCAGCTCCAAGTCAACCAAGCCTCGAGCTACTCGGGATGACAAGGAGAATCCTGATGAAAGTGATGATGAGACCAAGGACAGGCTTCCTTTCGACGACCCTGGGGTAAGACCAAAAACTCTCTTCTGATTTCTCTCCTTCCATTGTTTCTTTTTTTGCCTCTGGCTGATAATAGTATCAAATGACAGGTCACGCTGTCTGGGTTGCTGAATTTCATTGATGGGTTGTGGTCGACTTGTGGAGATGAGAGGATCATAATCTTCACGACGAACCACAAGGAGAAGCTCGATCCAGCTATGTTGCGCCCTGGAAGAATGGATGTGCATCTCTATATGGGTCACTGTACTCCAGCAGCATTCAGAGTGTTGGCAGCCAGGTATCTGGGGATTCAAGAGCACTCACTTTACGAGTGCGTCGAAGATCTGATGCAGAAGATTCCGACTACTCCGGCAGAGGTCGCTCAGCAGCTGATGAAATCTGATAAGCCCGAAGTTGCCTTGGAAAGCCTTGTTGAGTTCATGAAGACAAAAGAGAGCGAGAGTGAGAACAGCAAGTTGTTCACAAAGGAAGAAGTGGTAATCAAACAAGAAGTAACTAAGTCGACAGAGGAAGAAGTTGCAGAACAGGATGATAAGAAATTATTGTGAGAGGTTCAGAAATCGTGTTTAGTTCAGGACTAGTAGGGAAATGAACAAAGTTGAAAGATCCTTCAATTTAACTCTGTTATTGACGTGTTGAACACTCTAGCATTTCAGATGCTGTAATACAGAAAGTGAACTATCGTTCAGAAGTTCTTTTTCCCCATCTTTCCAATCTTCTCTGTTGTATTGACACTGCGAAACAACTGCACCATTTCTCCGGCCAGTTTCATGCTACTGCAAATACATTCTCTATAGTCTATCCTCAAGGATTTGATCCTTAAGCTACAACTACAATTAATGGAACTGAACATCGTCCAGGAAAACTGGAGAGGCGCAGGGCTATCTCAAGAGGGTTGCCAAGGACATATTTTCAACTTGGATTGGAGAATATGGAAGATTATGCTTGGAAGATTCCATGGTTTCCATAAGCTCGTGAATTAGAGGTTTTATGACAAAAGCTTCTTCTGCTGCATGCTTGACCATCCAGTCTTCGAGCAACCTGCCATTGACCACCAATGAACAGCTCTCTCAGAAGGCATGTCCCAACAAATAGAGAAGTAATGGTTTATTGCTAATTCATTATGGAATTCTAAAAACCAGAGATTTAGCAACAAGTAAACTGCCAATTTGGTATAAAAAACATAACTAACCACTGTAAAATAATAGAAGATTATTTTCTTCCTTTTATATCTTACGCCAGTAGACATGCAAATAAATAAGCTGAAGATGCGGACTAACCTTACAGAAGATTCAGTAGTTTTGCTAGAACTGGAAAACAGGACTTTGATAATGGGTTTTAGATTCAACTTTAAAACTGGTTCCACAGGGCTTCGATCATCCCAGCAAATGCCAGTGCAGCACCATGAATTCAGATTTAACAAAACAACTTGTAGCATCGGGGATCTGGTGGCCAAATCCCTTACAACAGTCCTATATGATAATTCATCTTTCGCATTTTCGACTAGCATATTCGTGAACATCTTTTCCAATGTATACCTCCTGTCAATCACAAGGAAGAACTTAAGTCAGGCAAACAACACATCTCACACCATTTAATCCATGCTCTTAAGCAAAAGAGCCCACATGATTCTTCCCTAAACAGATTCGAAGTATAAACAAATGATAATAGCTAACTAGTCTGCTGACAGAAGGAAATAGAAACGAAGGGCTAGCAGTAGAGCCTTTTTTTTTAATTTCATCTAAAGGGTCTCTATGATGGTGGATTTATGGGATGAGGCAATTTGGCCCTCCCCTGTGAATTCAAATTGATGCCGAACGAGGCGAATTAAATTGCATCGGCCCAATTTCTGCATATTCATTTTATGTTGTTAAACGAGGCAATTGGGTCAAATTGCCTCGTCAAATTCCATCATCCAAACAAGCTCCAAGAATTTCTGGCTCTTTTATCAGGATCTCGAGTCTTTATCATGCTTTGACCATCTAAACCAACAGCTAATGTTAAGTGATTTCATCAAAGCTTCCGTTTATAAATTAGAAGTATAAATACTTACTCAGTAAACAAGTCTAGCAAACTGTTACCAACCTGAAAATGTCACTTGGCGCACAAACCGGCAAGCAACTAGAGATGTAACACTTGAAGAGCCGGATACCGTTATCTATAGGGATATGCCCACTAGTAGTGCTGGGATAGGCTCCAAGAAGAGATGAACACTGAGGGCAAAAGAATTCTTTCCACTCTATATCCACAGAACGGCTGTAGGATCTAACCATGAAAGCATCTCCAAGAAAACCATTCAAGAATGACTTCTGATCTTCTGTGAACTTTGTTGCTCTTGTAGCTTCAACGTCCACTTTGGAAGGTTCAAGCCCCTCATGCCCATGGCATTTTGAATCACAGCAAGTCGCACTTTCCGACATATTCCTAGAGGTTGATCCACCAGATAACTGATCATCTCCAGAGAGTGTTGGAGAATCCCCCACCAGTTCATTTTGATTCTCATCCACACTTGCATGATCAGTTCCATTATCATCCAGCTCTCTACTCAAGCCACCACCCCTATCTAAAGGTTGATGCCTTGGCTCACACCCCAGGATATCATCCATGCACAGAATAACAGCGGGAGAGCTCAACAAACCCACACCTTTTCTGCAACCATAGCCATCAGCAAAGCTATTCACCAACACCTCACCTGCACCTCCATATGAACAGCAACAGCCTCCAAACCAGTTATCAGCAACTTCTCTCCAATTAACTGATGGCATTTCCTCGAAATTCCTAAGGAAGCCTCAAATAGTCAGAGGAATAAACAAGATTCTAAAATGTTGCCGGATTGCTGTCACAGGACAGAAGGCAACAAATGAACTAGAGAATGTTTCGAGTTTTCACCTAATGGCTTTTTTCGTTAATTTTGCAGAGCACCGTCTGCAGTAAAAGTTTGCTCCTTGGGTTGATGACAAACTCTTCAAGTCTGAACCAAACAACAATGGCAAAGAACAAATGACTAGAGAGTCTCGGTATTCCCAAGCAAAACAAGAAAAAAGAAACCACACAATAGGCATTAAACCAAACGCAGATATAATGGTTTTGAAAGGGTTACCAGAATTCATAACGAGGGGGTTTATTCCATCCATAACTCCACCATCGTCGCTCAAATTAAGCACGGAATCAAATCTCGATACGATGGGATGATCAACTGGAAGGAGAAGCACCACTTTAACTTCAATGTGGTCGTGCAAAGCTCTGAAGCTAACCGGAACCTCGGGGTCGATCAGGACCTTGGGAATCGGAATCTTCAGTGAGACATTCCCGCCGCCGTCCTCCTCCGTCCAGCTCACAAGAACGTGGGACTGTGAGAGCTTCAGATTCACGGAGAGGTTATGGCAATCTTTAGAAGGTCTGGAATGCGCATCGAAGACGAACAGCTTTAGGTTCGGGGCGTGAGATTGAGCTTCCCATGTGAACCGCCATTTTCTAGGGTTTTTGGGGTTCATCGTAGCCAATTTCTTCTGCTACAGCACTGTCCTGACGGAGCAGATAGTATCCATTATCCAACACAAATCATCAGGGCGCTAAAACTTCGTTTCCCAATCAGGGCCTTTTAAAATATTGTTGGTCTCAAATGAAATCGAGCTTAGAGAAAAGCCCAAGCAAAAGCTCGGATCAATTAGAATCAGGCCCAATAGGAATTTCAACCATAACCCTAATTCAATATTGCCTGTCTCTACGAACTGCAACGTTGGGTTTTTTGTTGTAAAAGGCTGACATCTAAGGGTATCTAATCTCGTTTTAATGATCAAACGTTTTAGGAATATGCCCATTACATCATAAATAGTCCAGTAGTTCAATCATAGATCACACACATCGATAGGATGAGTGACAAAATGAAGGTTGTGTAATTTGTTAGTAAGGACATCAGCTACGAAATTACATTCCCTATAAGTGTGGGATATAGAGACTTGTCAATCAACAAATAGAAGTTGGTTGATTTCCCGAATTGATATCCCATGTCTATGATCGATGTCATGTATGTTTTGGATTATTCTAATAGTTGTTGTTGGTCAATACAGAAGCAGACTCTTTTGTATCCGCACTCCACATTGTGGTTAATCCCACTTCAGTTGCTTTCAGTTCCGCTCAGGTAATTGAACATGCACCGATGTTAATGGAAAAAGCATTCTCCCATAATGTTTAAGAAGCATTCGCGCTCCTTCATTCTCCTACAATGTAGAAGAATGTGTTCATTTGTCTCCTCAGTGCCATTTTAGTGCTTGAAGTTGCCATCACTTGTTAGCTTTTTAAAAATTTCTCTTGGTTTGTGAGCAGTGGTTCATGCATAGCTAGCCATAGGAAGTGTTTGATCCTAATTGGGGCCTTCCATTTCCACAACTACTTTCAGTCCCATTTTGATATATGTCCAGCTCATTTGTCGCCAGGTTGTATGCTAATCTCAATCGAAAACGTCCATATGTTCAATTCTCCAAACTGTCGTGTATTCTCCCGGATCTATCTTTGGAGTTTCGGTACCTTCAAGGAGAGACAAGATCTCATTAGGGAGTTAACCATTCAATCTATTCCAATCTCGTTCCTCTGAATTAGTCACCAAATTGCATGTTGGTTCTTCCCTTTCATTATTTGTGAAAGTAGTGAGAAGGAAGTTCTCCAAGACTAGTCCTTCATTAATCCATGGGCGGGACAGAACCTGGTGTTTTTCCATCCCTGATACACTAGCATGTTGTCGACTTCATAATTAGCATAGCCTTCGAAATTACTTTTCAAAGCAGGGAGTGATTGCTTGTTTTCATAGATTTTATGTTCCCCTCACTTTGCCTAAAATATTTGCTCTAGAGAATCTGAGCCTACAGAGTTTGTTCATCATTAAGCATTTGCCAAGAAAATTTGACTAAGTATGCCATATTGAGACTTCGGGCATATCTAATCCCCAAAAAACCTTGGTCTTTTGGCTTATAGAACGTTTCCATTGGACAATGTCTATTTTTCTTTTCTCTTCCTCTTACGCCAAGATAAATCCCTCAATTTTTTATTTAATCGCATATAGACATAGGTAGAATCGAGGTCTACATAACATAATTGGGTTGGCATTTAGCACAGCACATGCAAAAGTAGCTCCACCAGCAAAGGATAAAGTTATGGACTTCCAAGTGTTAAGTTTAAGGTCTATCTTCTCTAGAATGTATCTGTATGTATTCCTAGTGATTCAAGGAGAGCTAGGACCCCTATATGCTTATCTAAGTTACGGTTACTCTATATTTAAGTCGATTACATATACAATTCCCATCAATAGCCTTCACATTCTTAGAGTAGAAACATCTCAAATTTTATGTTTGTTGTGTACAAGAGGACCTGAGGCGCGAGACCATTTTATTTAGTTATTCTCCTTACACCAGCTGGGTGATGAGGTCGGTTTTGTAGTCTGCAGTGTTCCTAACTGGGCAGGTTGATCCCAGCAGTTGCAGTGGGCTATCTCTTAGAGTCAGGGTGGTAGAGAATCCGTAAGGAGGTTGCTGTGAAATCTTGTGCTCAGTCATATATGGCTTAAGCATTGCCAAAGATTCTATGGTAGGGGTGTCTTGACCCCATTGCAATTAGTGCACCAAACTATCTCTGATGCAAAGATGTTTTCAGTAGGTAGCCATACCATTTTTAGTGTTAATAGGTTATAGTTAATAGTTAGTTGTAGGATTAGAAGTTTTTGTAAGACTTGGCACTCTAATAGCCTAAATGTAATGCTATGAGAAGAGGTTCTGCACTTGCTGCATCTCGGTCTTAATGGAATTTTTTATTGAGCATCAAAAATAAATCTCGACTTTTCTTTGCTAAGAGCTTGCTTGAAGCCTCGCAAAATTGTTGAATACAATTCACAACAACCTCGGATTGCTTGATTCTAGCTTCAACAAAGATGACAAGGTCAGTAGCAAAGAAAATGTAAGAGGTCGTTTGCTTGTTGGATTTTAGAAAATGAAAGATTTAGGTAAAACTTTGAATTTTATGGATGAAGGATTATGTGGGATTTTGTTACTTTGGATTTGTGTTGGATTTTAAAAAGTGCATGTTTGCTTGTTGGATTTCATATTGGATTTGTGTCCATGGGATTTATCAATTATGGGCTGAATTTACATTTGTATCCTTAATGATTTGTGTCCTTAATGTTCAATATAGGAAATATTGAAAAGAGATGAGGATAGACTTGTCATTTACCATCATGGACTTTAGCCTCCCACAAAATTCCAACCAAATAGGTGGGATTTTATAATACGTGGACCCCACGGATTTTGACCTCAAAATAATCCCACATACATGGGGCCCACACACCATAATCCAACACCACTTTAACACCAAACATGGACTTTGTGCATAATCCCATGGATGTGGGATTTTTATCCAAAATCCATGATGAAAATCTTACAAGCAAACGACCTCTAAGATAACTCAGGCCAATCTCTTGAAATTCTTAGGGGTTTCTATCTACATTTCCTAAATTCTCTTAGATACAATGATCTAATGTTTCAATGCATAAGATAAAGAGATCGGGTGATAATGGGAGGAATTTTACAATGCTATATAACATTGGTGCTATAAGTTTTTTCTTTATGGTACAACTTGAAATTGTACCTTTAACGTTATGGTACAACTTCAGATTGTACCTATACTTTTTGTACAAATTCTTTTATGGTACAACTTAAACTTGTACCTTATGTGATGGTACAACTTTACAACTTGAAGTTGTACCATCACATAATGATACAAATTCCTTTAAGGTACAACCTAAACTTATACATTTAATGTTATGGTACAACTTCAAGTTGTACATTAAAGCACCAATGCTATATAGCATAGTAGAAGTGCTCGTGATAATGGACATCCATGTCTTAGTCCTCGGCTTGGGGTGGACTTTTCTATTTCTCCTCCATTCCAGAGTACTTGTTGTTCTGTTGTTGTTACACATCTCATGATCAAGATAATTACATCGTTTGGGATTCTTAAAACATTTAAGGTTTCTTAGAGGAAGCTCTAGTCCAATGGTTTGTATTCTTTCTCCAAATCAATCTTTAGGAGCATAGCTCCTTTCTTTCATATTTTATTGGACATGGATTGAATTGTCTCCTGCAAGATAAGTATATTATCAGTTAAATGTCTAGTTGGTACAAAGCTGTACTGATTAGGTTGAACAAGGTGATTCATGAGGGTTTCATTGTATCATCCAGACACTTAGCCACCACTTTCTAGGACACATTGTAGAGGCTAATGGGTCAAAACTAGTTCATGGAGCTGGCTTCCTCCACTTTTGGGATCAAGGTCAGAAGCATCTTGATGATGTTGACGCAATCTGGATTGATAAAGCATCAAGACGTAAAGATGGTAAAATCAGAGCCAATTACATCCCAACATGTTTGGTAAAAAAATTCATGGAAGCAATCCTTTCTAGGTGCTTTCAGCCCACTCATCATTATCACATTGTTCTTCACTTTCATCAGGCATGGTGGTCTTGCAATCTTAGTCAGAGTTGCCTCTTCCAATTTAAAGAAATTAGTCGCCACATAAGGACGCTCCCTATGCTGCTGTTGTGTATAAGTTTATAAGAAACTCTCTGGCCATCTATTGGAGCATAGTGCATCCATAATCCATTGGTTGATATAATGTTTTAGGCCTTTGATCTAGTTTCTCTTTTTTTGGGAGAGCGTGCTTGTGTGGAAAAATCTTGTATTATGATCCCCTCGCTTTATTCATTTAGCTCTCAATTTTTGTAGCCATAGAACTTCCGTCTTCCCATAGGACATCTTCCACTTCCTCCCTGGTGTTATGCTCAACAGAAAAAGATTGGTGAGTAGGATTTCTATCATTCCTCCACTCCAGTGAATTCAACTTGTTTGAGAGGATCTTCTTCCTTTTGAATATGTTTTCAAAAAATCTCTTTGTTCCAAATCGTTAACTTGTCGGTTAGGTCCTGCAAAGATGGAATAAACTCGTGGCCATATTACCATATTATCAATAGCTGTAAGATAGCAGTTAGGGCTCCCAACCATGATATATTTGAGATGTATGAACTGTCTTTGGGTGTTCGTGACTTCAAGCTTCATATTACCTTTATTATATATAATACAAATTCCACCACTGAAGCCAATCACGTAAGATAATTCCCAAGGATCATATCCCAACAATTTGATAACTTCAAGAGCTTCCTCTTCACTGATCCTTAGTTTCATAATATGCACAATGCTCGAATTATGTGTGGCCTTATAAAAATAAAAATAAGATAAAATTTTGAATGCTTTGCACCCCTGTAGTTCCAACAAAAAAAACTTAATCATTGGAAGATAATGAAGGCTTATCTAATGCGACAAAGTCGAGATTCTCAAACAGTGTCGATGACCATTATTCTTTTATCTGCACCCCTGCCTACTTCACCAATTAAAACAGCAGGTGTTAGGACACTTTCTGATCCTTGTGTAGCATTCTTCATGCATTGATCAAAGACTATCTTTCTGTCATGTGTCTTCCCTTTGTACGGGGATTTGGTCATGGCTTCTTTGGTTGCTT